AACAAGCATCTTCCCTCCAAGAAGCCCGGAAGGATGTGGCTGGCGTCTGGCAGTTCGATGATTGCGCCAGAGTTTATTGGTCTGCTTCGCTGCTCCTTTGACTGCTGAACCGTAGAAGTTGCGGCAGACGGATCAAATATCGGTTTACCAGAGAGCCTGCACCACAGCATACATGCTCGTGTGCACGCGGCTCGTAAAAATGTTTTAGGGCGAAACAAAACCCTTTTGCGCAACGTCATGTTAGAGCGGCCCCCACCGCTCGCTCTGTCCACGTCATGCTGGGTTCGCGGGAAGTTTCCAGATTCGCCGCTTTGCTGGATGGAAGGACCAACCACAGCCCAGCCTCACAACATTCAATTCCCATGCTGCCCGTCTGTGTTCTTTCAGGATAGAACATCCCGCGTTTCTTCCCACCACGTGAACAAACATCCTAAGTTACAGCTACACATAGCTCTTTGTGTCTCAACTGTCACGTGTCAGTGGCCCATGATCGTGCTTTCAGGGAGGAATCCTACCTTTGATTATTAGAAACGGCTATACGTTTTTCTTGAACTGCAAAAATACTTTGCTGGACCCTCGAAGCTCGTTAGCCCACCATGTCAGCCCACCGTAATCTCTTTGCATGCCCAAAATCGTCATGATCAAGGTGTCAACCTGTCACGCCATGCTGTCAGGGACACCCCCCCCAAGAACTCCATCCATCGGGCAGGTTGCAGTGCAAAGCTGGATGCCCTTGTGGTGTGTGTTGTGGCATGCCCCCTACACCATTGCCCCAGCTTGAGCTCATCATTTTTACATGCTTCTGCCACTGGTTCTGTAAATATTTAGTCGGCCCCCTAATCCGAGGAAGCCTAGTTTCGGTTGCGTAGAAGAGTCGTGGCTGTTTGTATAGCCCTGATCGCGTAGGAGATTGTTGACTACATCTTTCGCTTCTCCATAGTAGTTCTCTTGCCCTTCAATCATTCTCAGCTTCATCAGCCGTAGGACGATCTTCTCAGTAACCTCGAAGGCGCTAAAAAATCATTTGTATGGCGCCATCTATCGTCCTTCAGCCCTCCTCTAGCATCGGGAACTCCTCTGCGTTCCGCGTTGATAGGTATGAGTCAGCTGCTTCGATCCTCTGCTTCTCTTACTTCGTCAAGTCATCCGTATCATTTGTACATGGCAACCGAGTTTTCACGCCTCCGATCCCCCTCTTTAGAAGAACTAACCCCACTCATGTTGGCCCTTTTCTCTGGACTCCCTTCCACTCTCCATCCATGTCGTCACTCCCTTCAACTGTCCCATATCTTCATGCAGCACTAGGAACACGGCGTGCAGGTGCGGCACTCGCAACGGTAACCCCGGCTTTAGTCACAGGCGACGCAGCTTTACTGCAGCCACCGCCAGCGTCAGCGTCAATTCCACCGGCAGCAGCAGCAGCAGCAGTAACTACGGGTCTCTGGGATCAGGCCACTCGTTTCGTGCGTCGTCTCGCCGTAGCCTCTCGGACCTCGCCTTCTTGGCAAATAAGCGTCACCTTGAAAACGTTAACAGCAACTCGCGGGGCCCGTGCGTGACCTGCGCTGCGTTTAGCGACGAAGCTGGCCATGAGCATCACATTGAACACCACGTGGCTGCGAACCAGCTGCGCCAGGTGGAGAGCCAGCCTCGGGCTCAGCTAGCCACGCCAGTCGAGTCGGAGGCAGCAGGTGAGGCACGGGCAAAACTTGCCTGACCATGCAGACTCTTAGACGCATCAGTACTGGCTGAGTTTTTTTGTTCCGATTGTAAAACGCTCTTCTTTCAACGATCAGTTCGCGACCTTAGATCCATGCCTGTCGCTGACATCCTTCCGTCCGCTTCGTGATCTGCTCGCTGCTTGTTTACAGAGGCTGTGCGCGGTGCCAGCGTCGCCGCGTTGTCGGATGTTAGCGGTTTCGCAGCGCCGGCGTCGCTATCGCAAGCGCTGCTATCGCGCTCCGCAACTCGTACCGTCGCCTCCGTGGGAGCGTCCGCCATGACTGCTGCTCGTCTCCGTCCGTCGACCCTGCTCCGGAGTGCGTTCTGATTTCCCCTCCGTATGGTGCTTCCACTTTCAGATTGGTTTCCCACTGTAATGTGTTTTTCCTCCAACTTAACTTATTCGGTTCTTTGCGTGCGGCGTGCGACGATCCTGCAGGCAAGGGTGGCGTCGTCATGGCCGTCGCACTGGCTGTCGCAGGCATCGTGACGATGATAAAGTCGCACGACCACCAGCACCAGCTAGAGTATGACGGCGAGGGCGAGGGCGAGGTGTGCGACGAGTGCGGCGGGTACGGGCTGTGCTGCTGCACCCTGTGCGGCGGAACGGGAGCTATCCGCTGGGAGGGCAAGTACGACCGCAAGGACCCGTGCCCCGCGTGTGTTGGGGAGGGGTGCTCGAAGGTACTTTTCCGCGGACAGATTATGTCGCCGATTGGGCAGAATGTTCAGGGAGCACACGGGTGCCGTACGGGACAATGATGTGTCTTGATTCACTGTTCGCTCGACGTCTTTCTGATCTGTTTCTTACTTTTGAAACGCGGTTCCTCTTGTGTTCGCCCTCTCTTTTCTCCGCTACAGTGCCCGAAATGCGGCTCGTCGCGCAGGAACAAGGCCGTTCCGCCCATCGTGCTGGAGCGTCGCGTGTTCTAGAAGCGCAGGGACGGGAGGAGGGCACTTGCCAGGCTGTTGTTTCTTGAACCGTGGGCAACGTTCGATTGTAATTATTGCCAAGGCAGTCTGGCTCCGCGACAACGACAGGCGGACGGCCTTGCTCAGCTGTCTGGGTTCCGATGGGCCTGGCTGCGACTCAGGGACTCGGGGGTTGTTGATAACTGTAGTTTCGCATGGCATGATGCGACGACAAGAGATCCGCATGTTGCATTCATTCTGCCTAATGTTCTGGCGGAAACAGCTCGTCGGTTGGCGAAGGACACAGTTTGCTGCTGATGTTCCAAACGATCCTGGGAGGAATGATGGCCCGCTCAATCGAAGAGGGGGACGCTGGAGACAGAGGCTGCGTTCTCTATATTGCTGCTGCGACAAGGGTGGAGTGTATATACAGCTCTCTGGCTCTCTGCCGTCCACCATATGCAATGTGACATCTCATCGTCTCTGTTGGCTTCACAACAAGATCTAGTGTGGTAGGTGGCTGAGAAGTAGAAGTTTGGTCTTACTATTGGCATTATCATGTTTTAGTACTAAGTATTGTGTCCGTGAAACCTTGGTAGTAAGCATTGTGACTTGAAGCAACTGAAGTGAGTGTGTCTGGTGGCATTTATCTAGGTTACATGCTCCCATGTTGATTTCCTGGTGGTACCACCATACCGGTATGTAAACCTCTGAACAGCGAAATTGCTGCATGAAGTTTGAAGTGACTCGTGCCTTACAGATGCCACAGTAAGTGGGACAAATATTCAGCTGCTGAAATGTACCAGGAAGAAGGTAGTTGGAATGCTCATTTTCAAAACAGAGATTGTTGTGATTAACGGATACAACGATAGCCATGTACAGGCGATAATAAATCGTTACGTATGATGACGACGGCGGTGTCCAAGCCATGCCAAGACCAGCTCGGTTCGGAAAGTTGCTGCAGGAGATTCGTCGTCCTGAAATCTGGGACGACGTGGCCTCGTTCGTCCAGCTAATTGACAAAGTTCCCTCACTTTGAGGAGATGATCCTCGAGAATAGGAAGCTTGGGAAGGAACCAATGACCAACCAATTGCTTGAGAGTCAAGCTGACACATTGATGTGGCGTCGCATGACATCCCAGAAACACAGACATCCCTCTCTACCTTGGGAAACATACCCGTACCCAGCTGGACTGTTCGCAAATATTCCATTGGCGAGACTAACGACAGCTGAACGACAAAGCAGGGTCCACCGTGGAAAGGCAAGACTCGTACCATAGCCGTCCATTTCCTTCCATTCTTGTAGACGAACGGATTCGTCTGGCTATCCACAGAAGCGGCGAAACCTCGAGCTTTGCACCGAATTTGCGCCACCTTGGAAATTGGGCTCTTGTGATGTGTGTCATTGCCTGCATGCCTTCCTTCTTGCCCCATCAACATGGGACGCCATGCGCTGGCGCGGCCTGGTTGGTGTACGGTGCGTCACCCATGCCACATGGGGCATGGAAGGGTCATGAGTTGGTCTGTTTGCTGGCACGCGTGGAATCGCAGTGTGCTTCCATCCTCCATCGCCCGCATTTTCCTCTCGTTTGCCCTTCTCGAAACAGGCGCAGTTTTCTACTCCAAGAACTAGAGCTCCACATACCTGCCACTATAACTTGAGCTCAGGCGTATCCTCGGTCTTTTCTCGTCACCAGCATGCTCTGGGGCACGTCTCGCGCTTTTCTTCTCCTCCCTCCATTTCCTTGATCACTCGAGGCTTGTCTCTCTTGACGTTCTTGAATCCTTCGTTCGCTCTTCGTGCAATCCACAACCTCCGTGCTCGACACATCGCAACTACACGAATATTCCGCATCGTCGTCGCCATGCTGCTCGATTCAGCGACAGCGGCAGCTCTCCCCTCGTCAGCTACCTGCTCCACTTCCGCCGCTCTTCACTCCACGACACCATCCGCGGCTTTTCTCCGCGCGCCGCCTCCCGCCGCGCCAGCATCTTCATCACCTTCATGGATCCACCCGCGCATCCATCCCATGCATCCCCATCTGCGCTCTCTTCGCTCAACCACTCCGTTTCTCGATCCGATTAGTCGCCGCTGTCTGCGGGTAGCCGTGGATGTCGGCAGTTCTCGCCCGACGGGCGATCGTCCCGTGTCGCCGCGTCAGCATGACAGTGAGAGTGAATCCGACGCTTCTGGCAAGTCGGACGCGCCAGGTGGGCATCGAACGGCCGAGAAGGGTTCGGGGTCTACGGGATCTGAATCTGAATCAACGCGTGCCGAGGGTGTGCACGCTGCTGGGACGAACGGAAGCCGTCGATCTGTGGCCGCATCCAACGGATCGAGCAAGCACGTGGCGAACGAGGGACCGATGGAATCCTGGACTGCTACTAACGAGGATGAGCAGCGTGCGGCGGGTTCCAGCGACTGGGTTTCGCCAGCGAAGCCCAAGGAGCAAGACCGCTCCAACGGACTCGGAACAGGTTTGTCAGGAACATGCATCAGCGACCGTTCTGCGTGCTTCATTAGCTGTGTACCCGCCAGTTATTAGTCTGCAGATTTGCAAGGCCTAACAGAGGAACAATTTCTGTAGTGTGCTCAAGCCACGTCATGTTTTCTTCCGTCGTGTGATTTTCTCGTCACTTGATCCTGGATTCTGAGTTATAGAATATGTTTCGCGAGTTTGGCTAGGAGTTTTTTTGTCAGAGGAAGCGGAAAACGGCGTTGCGTGCCGCCGCCTTCCTCCTTTCTCTCCCTCTCTCTCGTTCGCTCCCTCTAACCACTCTCTTGCCTGTCCTGCTCTCCTCTCCTTCTCCCTCCTCTTCTCGCTTTCCGCGCCTCGCATTTCACCACATATGTTTTTTTTTTTTCCTTCCACGCGTTTCTCCTCTATCCGATTCTGCTCTGGGCAGGCGTGACGGACCTAGCAGCGGGCTTCATCGTGTGTGTGGGAGTGGCAGCTATGGCCTTTATGGGGTTCAAACGCCAGGGTGAGTTCCTCTCTTCCCTCTTAGAAGTCCATTTTTTCTTCACTGTACTGTTATAACCGTCCACTGTGCAGTTCCAGTCCATTCCTTATCCTTCGGTTTGCCTCACCCTGAATAAACTATCTCATTCTTAGTTCTCTTGCCGTCTCTCTCCTCCACGGCCTCTCCCTCCACCTTCCCTCCCTGCATAACTCCTCCCTCCGTTTTCCTTCTTCTCCCCTTAGCTCCTTTTCTCCACTAAACCCTTTTTACGCCTACCTGCTTTCGTCTCCTATCCCACAGCAGCTCGCCTTGCTCCATCCGTGCAGCATCAACCTCCTGCCACTACTGTCGTCGTCACTACTGCTGTCACTGCGGCTGTAGCTACTCCAGTCGCTACCCCAGCTGTTAAACCTGCCACCGATTCACATGCGAAGCCAGCAGAAACAGGCAAGATTTCGCAAGTCCCTGCTGACGTGGCGCAGTCATCATCCACTGATTTGACCGCTGACGTGGACAGTGGTGTTGCTGCAGGTGCACCCACCCTCGCTGCACCTGCACCAGATACCACCTTTGTTAAGGCCAAGGACGCTCCTCCTGCTCCTCATCTACAGTCTGTCGATTCTGTAGTTGCTGATGTAGTGTCAGATACTGCATCTGTGCCTTCTGCTGGCAAGCCAGCCCTTGACCCAGAGGCTAAAACCCCTGGTGCGGCCGGCACCACTGCAGCGGCAGTGGATTCTGTGCCTGCTGCATCCAAACCAGCTGAAACGGCAGCACTGGTAGCAACACCGGCTGAAGCAACAGCAGCGCCAGCTTCGAATGAAGCAGCAGCAGTAGCAGCTCTTGAAGCTATGAAAGAAGAAGCTGCTGCTGTAGCCCCCACTCTGGGCGATGCAGTACGTGCGGCAGCGCCAGCTGCTTCAGTCGCGGATGCAGCTGCTCCAGTTGCACCAGCGCTGTCGCCCGCCACTGACACCACTCCAGCAGATGCTGCCAAGGAACCTCTCGTTCCTCTGCCTCTGCCTGTTCCCGTGCCCGTGCCTGTGACTGTGACTGAGAGTGCAGTACTAGTGGTGGAAGCGGCAGAACAAGGAGGCAGTGGCAGCAACAGCGCCAGCGTCAGCAGCAAGGAGGTGAGATTGTTAATCGAGGAGGGGAAGCATCAATGCAGAGGTGTGTTGCATTGGTTTAATCTTTGTGCTTCGGCAGTAACACATCATGTGAGTGTGTGGACATTTTTTCTCTTCACTGAGGGGCTTGTCGTGTACCCTGACGTACCTGTGTGTTGCTTGCTCTTGTTGCCAGTCTGTTTCCAAACTTCACGGTTTCTCGTTTGGCTTCTTGTTATAAAGGTTTCGGGTTTAGGGTCGGGGTTTCGGGGTTTTGTGTACCGTGGTGCTTTGCCCATAAGTGTGGTGACGACCTCAGCTAAAACCATTGACATGCACGCTGTCATGCAGTGTACATCTCCCATCCTCCGTGCCCCACAGCCCCCTGGCATGGCATGGCATGGCATGGCATGGCATGGCATGGCATGGCATGGCATGGCATGGCATGGCATGGCATGGCATGGCATGGAATGGCATCCTGCGCATGGCACACAAAGCAGGCTGATCTTTTTTCCTTGTTTTGGGAAACTTGATGGGTGCAGGTGCAGAGGGGAAGCGCGAGTGAAACAAGGGTTGAGTCGGTGGATGCGAGGGAGACAGCTTTGGATGAACCTGCTGCTGTTGGTGTCTTTTTAGCTTCCGATGAGAATTCTTCTGCTGCTGCTACTGATGCTGCTCCTGCAGCTGCTGCTGCTGCTGATGGTGGTGGTCTCGCCGCTGCTGATGCGAGCACTCAAACCCCTGTGCTTGCGGCACACGCAGCACTCGAGTCTCCTGCCAATGCAGACAGTCCCAGTCTAGAGGAGCAAGTAGAGTCTATCGCATTCGATGTAGCCTCTTCTGTTGCCGCCGCTGCAGCTCCTGCTGATGCAGCAGCTGCAGCTGTCGACGCCATTGCTGCAATTGCAGATGCCAGTGCTGCTGCTGCTGCTGCTGCTGCTGCCACCCCCCCCGCTCTGTCTCTCCCGGCGAAGCATCATGACTCTCAAATGCTTTCCACGAAGGATCTCCTCCCCTCGCACGCATCTCAACTGTCCTCTGAAGCTGTCTCTTCCCTTACTTCACCGGATTCCGCCCATGCTTCTGCTGTGCACGCTGCTGCAGCAGATAAGCCTGCTGTGGCGGCCGAATCTGCAGAGGCAGAGTCTTCTAAGCTGGGTGAGTCTGCTCCCTTGCCGCTCGCAGGCACAGCAGCTTTAGAAGCAACGGTGGTTCCGGCAGCGGCAGCAGGGAAAGTAGCAGCGCTTGAGGCAGCCGTGGGGGGAGCAACCGCAGGAGAAGCAGCATTGACAGAAGCACTGCCAGCAATGCAAGCTGCAACGCCAGAGGCAGCGCCAGCGGCAGTGGCGGCAGCGCCAGCAGAAGCGCCAGCAGAAGCGCCAGCAGCAGCAGCGCCATCAGTAACAGCAGTGGTAGCGGAGATGGAAGAGGCGGAGGCGGTGGAGAAGCTGTCTCCGTTTGAAGACGCTGTGGAGCATTTTGAGGCTATTGAGGAGGAGGTACTTGAGGCACCAGTGCCGGCAGCAGCAGTTGCTTCAGATACGAGTGTCACAGCAGCAGCAGCAGTACCAGCAGAAGCACCAACGGCAGCAGCAGCAGTAGTCCCTTCAGAGAAAACAGATGGTGTTCTCGAAACTGTGCCAGGAGCTTCACCGGTGACTGCGACGTCTGCTGAAGGGAAGGGGGAGGAGAGAGAGAAGGAGGGGACAACAAGGCAAGAAGGAGGAGGAGCAGTGAGTGCGGTGATGGGCGGTGTGAAGGAGTGGTGGGAGAGGATTGCAGCGAGTGCGTTTGTGCCTGCGCCTGTGAGCGCCGTCTCTTCTAAGCTAGCCGGTGTGGCAAAGAGCGTGGGCGGAACCGGTGGGGTTCAGAACAACCAGCAGCAACAGCAGCAGCAGCAGGAGGAGGTGCAGGTGCAGCAGCAGGGGAGAGCGGCAGGGCAGAGGGTGGTGGTGAGAGCAGCAGCGGACGCAGGGCAGCAGCAGGCCGTGCAGGACCTGCAGTTGCTGGGGGTAAGTGGGAGATGGAATGGGGAGGGGTTGGGACGAGGGTGAGGTGAGGGAGAAGCCTAGGGATGGTGTTGACAAGAGCTAAGTTAAGAAAGGGGGGATGCAGCAATGAAGGGTTCTCTTGTGCATCATTGCCTAGTCTTGACGGATCTCTTTGCAAGGCTCAACGTGCCATTAGCACCACCTCTTTTTCCCCCTCTCATCCATACTCGCTGCATCCCGCCCCGTGTGTCCACGTGTCACCAGGTGATTGAAGGCCACGTGGACGCCTCTAGCCTCTGCAGTCGCAGGGAGTTCGCACGATGGCTCGTGCATGCCTCCAACGCTCTTGCCAGGTACCGCTCTGCACCGTGCATACTTCCCAAGGCCTTTTTAGGCACCTCGAAAGTCCTCAAAAGGTGTTGAGGCGCCTCAGAAGCGGTGCATACCTCCAACTCTCGTTTCCTGGTTCCTTTCTTCCAGAGATTTTACGGTTCAATTCGAACCATCAATACGCTTTTTGTTCACTCGGCCACGCCTGGAACGCTCTTGCGAGGTGCCTTGGAGGCTCCAGGGCTCTTGAGTCGAGCCCGCTGATCCCTGCCACTTGTCCTGTGCTCACGCTCACCAAGGGGCCGTCTAACATATGTGCTTCTATCTCTGCCTTTCGATCCAATTCTTGGCCTCTCCACTCCCCCCCATTCCCCACAGTGACTCAGGCCAGCCATGCACATGTTAGGTTTCTGTGAACCATCTCTCTTCCGTCCTTCTTCTTGCCCCCTCCTATCCCGTCCACTCTCCTCTCCCCTCCACCCCCCCCCCGCAGTGACCCAGCGCACAGGGTGCAGCCAGCCATGTACATAGACGGCCTGTCCACGCCTGCCTCTGTTTGAGGATTCTTACAGACTATCTTTTTCGAACCCCCCCTTGTTCCCATCCCCTCCCTCCCGCAGTGACCCAGCGCACAGGGTGCAGCCAGCCATGTACATAGACGGCCTTTCCACGCCTGCCTTTGATGACGTGGGACCTCTAGACCCGGACTATGCGGCCATACAAGGTGCGGAATACGTGTTTGCTCATCACGTTGTGAGCTTTGAGAAGACTCAAAGGCCGCCCGCCTTTGATGATGTGGGGCCTCTGAACCCCGACTATGCCGCCATACAAGGTGCGCTATGTGTTGGTTGGTCAATATTGAGCTGGCGTGCACGCTCTTTCTATAACCACGAGGTGCAAGGCGTTGACAATGCCACCTTCGCTCAACCTTCGCTCAACCTTCGCACAACCACATTTCACAGTCAAGTTGCATCTGTCGTCGAGTAATGAGGCTTTAGGTAGTTCTGTGCTTTACAAGGGGAAGGAGGGAAGGGAAAGACAAAATGGAACGCAGCAGCTGGAGGAGCTACGCTAAAGGAACAATGGTTTGGCAGAATACGCAAAAACAGATGAAGTACTGTAAAACCCTCCAAAGCTCTATCTTGTCATCGTACCATATCGTCTCACCATCGTACTGCCAAGAGTTCCTCTTCCCGCACTCATTCTCCCTGTGTCACTCTGATCTCTCTTTCCCCCATCGCCTTCCATGGCCCCTCCCTTTCCACTCTCACCCTTATCTTCTCCGCCTTTTTCTGCCCATTCATTCATTCATTCTTCCACTCTTCCCCTCCCTCCTTGGTTACTCCCTCTCACTCCATCCTCATCCCTTTCATCCTCCCCTCCACCCTCCTCTCAGTCCCGTCCATGCAGGTCTAGCTGAGGCAGGGCTCATCTCCAGCAAGCTATCCTTCACGGACCTGGGCTGCCCCGGCAATGCCTTTCCATGTCTCTCCCTCCTCTTCTCCACCTCGTCCCCCCGTCCATGCAGGTCTAGCTGAGGCAGGGCTCATCTCCAGTAAGCTATCCTTCACGGACCTGGGCTGCCCCGGCAATGCCTTTCCATGTCTCTTCCCACTCAACCCTTCCTCTTCCCTACTCTGCCTCGTCCCCCCGGCCATGCAGGTCTAGCTGAGGCGGGGTTGATATCCAGCAAGCTATCCTTCACAGACCTGGGCTGCCCCCGCACGGCCACCACCACCACCACCACCACCACCACCACCACCGCTCAGTCGTCCGACTCTTCTCAGTCTGCTGCCTCTGCTGCGTTCCGCGCTCGCCCAGGGTGCAACAGCGGCAGCGGCGCTCTCTTCCACCCAGACAGGTGAGCCACGGTGCAGCACAGCACAGCACAGCACAGCACAGCACAGCACAGGACAGGAGCTCGCTCGTCACGGGGCTGTAGTGGAGCGATCCTCTCGAGAATTCTGAAGCACCACCGGACTGGACTGGACTGGACTGGACTGGACTGGACTGGACTGGACTGGACTGGACTGGACTGGACTGGACTGGACTTGGCTGGACTGGACTGGACTGGACTGGACTGGACTGGACTGAGTGGACTGGACTGGACCCACTGGTTGCAATGCTCAACCTCTCTCAGTCCTGATGCTCGGGCCGTCTGATGATCGGTCCTGGACTGGACCCACCGTCTGCTGCTCCTGCTGCTGCCCCTGCTGCCAACTCCACTCCCTCTTGTGAGCGCTTTCTGAGAATAGCCTAAGGCGCTGCCAGCCTGCCAGCCTGCCAGCCTCACTCCTCCACCTCATCTCACCTTCTCCCCTTTTCACGCCTCCAACTCATCTCCCCCTCGCCTCCCCTTCCCTCCCTTGCCACTATTCCCTCGCACCTGGCACAGCGCGTTGACGCGGCAGGACCTGGTGTCATGGAAGGCAGCTCTGGACTCGGTTGTGCACCCACACGACGTCTCCATGCTCGCTCACCTCTCCTCTCAGGTGGGTGGGTGGGCGGACGGGTGTCTTGCGTGGGTGGGGAGGGTGGGGTGGTTGGTTGGTTGGATAGGTGGGTGAATGGGTTAGCGTACGGTGCACTTAACTCATATGAGGGTCACAGATTGAAGGCAGCAATGCGCATGATGGAAAACCAAAAGAGGGCCCTTGAACTCTTCTATGCATCGAGGTGGTTTTTGAGGCGCCTCAAAAAACACCTCCTTGAACGCTTCTATGCATCATACCGTTGGTGTTTTGCTTCACACTGTCCCCTTCCCCTTCCCCTTCCCCTTCCCCTTCCCCCCCCTCCCCCCTGTCTTCCCCACTCACCTTCCCTTTACTGCAACTAAACTCGGAGCCGTTCTTTCATCTCATTACCGCATTTTCACCTCTCCTTCCGACCTTTCCCTGTCACCAGCCGCCGCCATTCATAGACATGGATAGAATCGACCCTGACGCCCTCCCAGCCGTGCTGCTAGACGCAGCAAAGCGTGATACGACCACCAGCAGCATCAGCAAGAACAGCAGCAACACCAGCGGCAGCAGCAGCAGCAGCGGCGGCGGCGGCGGAATAGTGACGACAGCCTTTGGGTTCACGCGCCGATTCGACCCACAGAAGCCCGTGACACGCGGCCAGGCTGCCATCGCGCTGGCTGCTGCAGGCGAGGGGCGGGAGCTAGTGCGAGAGGCAGTAGGGAGAGCGAGAGCAGAGAGAGGTGCTGCGGCTGCGCTGGAAGCAGCACAGGAGGAGGCGGAGAGGAGGCAGAGGGAGGCTGTGCGGGAGATGGTGGAGAGGGATGAGATGGTGGGGGAGGAGCGGCGGGTGAGGGAGGCGGTGGAGGAGGCAGGAGAGGTGCTGCGGGTTTCTGCAGAGAGGGTTGAGGAGGAGTTGGAGCAGGAGAAGGTGAGAACATGGAGGAGGAGGGGGGGAGGAGGAGGGGGGGAGAGGGGGGGGGGAGGCGTTGCGTTGTATGGGAAGGGAGGGTGCCAAGGGGTTTTGGGGGAGGTGGAGGTATCTTATGTTCTGACTTTTGAGTGTACTCAAAAGTCCCTTGCATCCCAGGCGTCCGTCCTTCAGTTGAAGTCCTCACTGCAGGGTTTTTCAGGCACCTCAAAAGGCGATTTTTGAGGCGCCTCGAAAATTCCCCTCCCCTCAAATCCCAAATCTCAAATCCCAAATCCTGTCCACCCAGGCGTCCGTCCTTCAGTTGAAGTCCTCACTGCAGGAGCAGCAGCAGCAGGCGGAGAGGGAACGGCAGCAGCAGCAGCAGGCAGCAGCGTCGGAGCAGGAGCGCGTGCAAAAGGAGATGCAGGCAGTGCGGCAGCAGTGGGAGGAGGTGCAGCGCATGCTGGGACAGGCAGAGGAGGCAGCGCAGCGAGCGAGGGAGAGGGAGAGCGAGGTGCAAGGGGAGAAGGAGGCTCTACAGAAGGCGAGGTGAGCGAGACTCTCCTTGGAGAGAGCAGTGGGACGCGACATCTAAACATGTCTCAGTGAGCTGCGTGTGTGCAGTAAGCTCACTGAGACATGTCTGAATCTCGCGTGAGTGAGACTCTTCTTGGAGAGAGTAGTGGGACGGGAGGGAGACTCTCCGTAGGGAGACACTCTATCAGAGGGATAAGTGAGACTCGTGGGATGGAGGGAGGGATATCGTGGATTAATGGAGGAGGGGATGGAAAGTGAGTGGGGAGGTAGAAGGGGAGGGGAGGAGGGAGAGAAGGGGGAGCGACCTTGATATAGAGAGCATGACTTGGGTGCCACAAATCCGTGAAGGCCAACCGTCCATACGGTTTCCCTCTGGCAATCAAGCCTCTTCCAGTTTCTAGTTTCATTGCTGCTCGAGTCTTCAAGCCTTTCGCATCCTTCTCTCTTCCGACTTACCACCCCCTTCTGTTGAGATGAGATGGGCACTTCACTCCTCTTTTCCTGATGGGCACTGCGATTGTCCCTCAACGCGAGGTCTCCCTTTGTCCTTCCTCCCTGCATCGAGTTGTAGCCCAATCACTCTTCTAACTTTGTTCTTCCTAATTACCCTAAAATGTGTCCATCCGCTTCCGTATCTCTCGGGCGCCCACGCTTGCTTTCGGATCCCCAGGGTTGAGGCGGAGGCAGAGCTTGTGCTGGTGAGGGCGGCAAGTGCGCAGGTGCAGCAGGCATGGCGGGAGGTGGCGGAGAGGGAGAGGGAGGTGCAGGAGAGGGAGAAGCAGCATCTGCTGCAGATGAAGATGAGAGATGAGGAGCAGCAGCAGGAGGAGGAGGGGAGGGAGGGCCAGAAAGTGAGTCCAGAAGGAGCAGGGGCAGCAGGAGTCACCACCATAGCAGCTGATGCTGATGCCAATGCCAGCTCTGCTGATTCCCCCAGTGGCCTCTCCTCTTTCATCAACCGCATCATCTCCCTCTCACCCTTCTCCCGCGCCCACCCTCCACTCGACCCCACTCCTGCCTCTGTGGCTGCGCCTGTTGCCGTGGACCCTAGTGAGTGGGGCGTGAAGGTTGCAGCTGAAGCAGCACACCGCAGCACAGCCGCTGCTGATACTGCTGGTTCGGCCACTGCTACTGCGAATGCAACAACTGCCAAGGGTACTCGTGAGAGGCGTGGTGATGGCAGGGATTTTGAGCGCTCGGATGAGCGGGATACTGCGGGGACGGCAGCATGGGGAGGGTTGAAGGAGAGAGGTGTGGATCCAGAGGCTTGGAAGGCCCGGGCTTCGGAGTTGGTTCAGCCTGTGGGGGAGAGAATGCGCGAGGCTGTGAGGGTTGCTGAGAAGGGTTGGGAGACGATGGGGGAGAGGGTGGAAGGGTTGAAAAAGGAGGTGGGGGTGGCTCGTATGCAGATGGAGGTTGGTAGGGCTGCGGGCGAGGCAGTGGCGAGAGGGAGGGGAATGGTTGAGGAGGGGCGGAGAGCGGTTGAGGAAGGGGTGAAAGCAGTGGGAGGTGCAGGGGTAGTGGTGAGGGAGAGGGTTGGGGAAATGGTGGAAAAGGGTGGGAGTAGATTGAGTGAGGTGGTGCAGACTGGAGGGAAGAAAGTGGAGGAGATAAAGGGGAAGGTGGGTGGTGCTGTGGTGGAATTGAAGGGTGTGGTGGAGGAGGCATGGAGCAAGATGGCAGATGGTGGGGGGGAGGGTGATGCTAGGGGGAAGAGTGGGAGTGCAAGTTAGAACAATCAAAGCCTAGCTTGTAACGGGGCATTTTGGAAGACATTTCTTACATCGAGAGGTTTTCTTAGCAGGAATTTCTGGGTGATGTGCTGTATATGCGTGGTTTGATGAATAAAAGAGAGCAGAATCAATAATAGTGAGCTCATATACTTTGTTTTTTCAAATTGACTTCCATACTGGTACTGCTGCCCCTAAAGAAAATAATGTGGCCGCCGCTGAACCAGTTGACAATGAGTTGTGTCAACAACAGGATGAGTTGACCAGTAAGGAGAAGGGTACAAGCAGGAGTGTTCCTACACTGAGAACATCACTATGGCCTAACATACTAGGGAGATTTTAACATTTTTTTTAATCAAATGAACAAAAAGATCCCCGTAAACATGCCCGCCCACCCAGCCTCTTTATGCTGATTCGTCCATATTTTTTTCTTCATATGACTCATTTTCCTTTCCAATTTGTAATGTCAGTGAATTTATGATGCAATAATTCGTAATTTTGCTTCGCATTTCTGTTTTTTCAGCATACCCCGAGTCGGGGTCCCCGACACCAATACCTAGGCGAGATTGATCTTAGAGCTCATAAACCAATAATTATTGGTCGTAATTGGGGGTACTGGGCAACTTATCGTTTTGTATGACAATGCATGCTAGGTCACTGTAGCACAGTTAAAAAAAAAATCAATACCTATGAGAGATTGATCCCAACATAAACTCCGTGCTTTCATGCAGTCTCTTGTACCTGGAGTTGAATTGTACTACAGTGCATGTAGTAAACAAAGTAGGGACTGTATCAGCTTGATGTTTTACATCCAGAACATATCTGCATTGTTCTTTGCCTCGAGAGCGCGTACGATTCGTACCAGAATCATGTCATCATTCAGAGATGAGAATTCTCACATGCCGATATCCATGGCTCAGTGGTCGTTGTCGTTATGCACGTGGTTGCACTTTGTGACAACCCGTGCCCCAGGAATTTTCATGATGCAGCCAGCCTTTTGCCATGTGTGGTGTGCAAAGTCCACATCATGTGCACATAGCGTTAGCGATGCCCACTGTGCCATGGTCACCGAGTATTCATTACAAAACACACCCACTCACTGGCTTTCAGCCTGGGAAAGCTCCAGGTCACGTCAGACAGCCCACACCTGCCAGCATGGCAGCTGCTGGTAGGCCGCAACGACCCACCAACCACTGCCAACAGTTTACATTTGCATGTGGGTCACAACGCATGCCACAGACGAGGTTTTGGAGAAGGGAGAAACCTTGTCCCAGTTGGTATTGTCAACATATCCGTGCTGATTTTGCCTTGCAGCTTTGGCCGACCCACGCACCAAATCTGGGAGTTAACAGCCTCAATTTTGGTTTGGACCAGAATCTACCAAAGAGCCTTTCACGAGGTCACTCCCACTTCTGAGAAACAACAAATTTTACCTACATAACCAGGCTCGGAATATAGACGTAAGTAGTGGGAGGTGTGGAGCCGTCACCATACGGGAAAGGGATCAGTGTGGTGGGGACGGAAGCTTAAGAGGAAATATTCAGGACTCCCACGAAGTGATCCCACCAAAACCCGAATGGTCGAAAGAGATCCCTGAAGTGGCCCGCAGGTCAGGAATTTAGTCCCAGAATGCTGAGTCCCAATTCCCCTTTCCTCCACCGCAATTCCCCTTCCCGTGTCATGATTACCCCTTCCCGCCTCCCCGGTTTTCCTTCCCGCCGCGCATTTCCCCTTTCCGCCTCCCCGATTCCCATTCCCGCTCCCGGTATCCCCTTCACACATTTGCGTTTCCCCTTCCCGCACCCCATTTCCCCTTCCCGCCTCCCCGTTTCGCATTCCCGCTCTCCCACATTCGCGTTTCCCCTTCACGGTCCCCATTACCCCTTCCCACCTCCCCGTTTCCCCTTCCCGCTCCCCGTTTCCCCTTCCCGCTCCCCGTTTCCCCTTCTCGCTCCCCGTTTCCCCATCCCACCTTCCCGTTTCCCCTTCCCGCTCCCCATTATCCCTCCCCGCCTCCCCGTTTCCCCTTCTCGCCCCCTCGTTTTCCCTACCCGCCTCCCCGTCTCCCTCTCGTTTCTCCACCTTCTCCCTCTCGATTCCCCCCTTCCCCCTCTCGTCTACCCCCCTCCCCCCTCTCATGTCCCACCTTTCTCCTTCTCATTTTTCCCCATTCTCCGTCTCATCCCCCCCCCCCCCCCTTCTCAAGCTCACCTACCCCCTTTCTCCCTCTTAGCTCCTCTCTTCCTACGCCCTGCTTCCCCCTTTACTCTCTCGTCCCTACACCCTTCATTCCCCTCTCCGCTCTCTGCCTTATACCCTTCTACCTCCTTTCCCCTCTCTGTCTTACACCCCTCTTGATTTATTCTCCACTCTGCCTTACTCCCTTCTTCCACCTTTCCCCTCTCTACTCCACACCCTTCTTCTCCCACCATGCGTTCTCCCCCTTATATCCTGCTAAACCCCATTTCCCTCTCTTCCCTACACCCTGCTTCCCCCTCTCTCTTCTCTGCCTTACGCCCTGCTTTCCCCTTTCCCCTATCTTCCCTACACCCTTCTTCCCTCTTTCTACCCGCGCTGCTTCCCTTTTTCCCTATCTCCCTTTCCCTCTTTCACCCTGCTTCTCCCGTACCCTGCGACGTGGTAAGGACGCGAGGCGACACATACGACGTCGTTTCGATTCTGGACGAGCTAGCTGGCGAGCTGGAAGGATTCTGGTAACCACACAACCGTCCGAACGGCTGGACGTCCGGACAAAACAAAGGAAAAATGTCACACGCCCTAAGGGCTGAGGCGCCGCAGCGGGTTCGGCGATAAAGGGCCATGGTGCGCATCGGGTGAGGCGCTAAGTGGGAAAGGCGCGCAGCGGGTGAGGAGCCAAGCGGGAGAGGCCTACCTAGCGAGTGTTGAGAGTGGCGGCGTGGCCAACGCATGAAACGCGCATCCGCTCAGTGAACACGGCCCCTAAATTATCAATCGCGTGACGGCTTACTCGAGTGCGGCGACCCAGCGTCGTGATGCAAACCGCTAGCCTCGGTTCCTCTATCTATGCTTCGGCTGGTGAGTCACTGCAAGGTTGGGTGACGGGGGAGTTTCCCGTGTTTGGAACCCTCAAAGGTGCAAGTTTTCGCAAAACCTCTCGCCACCCTCATTTGGTTTCGTTTGAGCGAATTTTTTTGGGATACTGTGCAACCGTGAACAGTACTTGCAAATGTATACGAAAGCTTTAAGAGAGTGCAGTGCAAGTGTCCCGTTGTTCACCTACTCCATTCGTTGGTGGTAGACAGACGAGATTGGTCGGGCAGCAAATGCCAACAACATACAGTACAATACACCCTGTTTCTCGCTACACTGAACAGTGGAACTATTCCTTGGACGTATTTGAAAAGTTTACAATATCCGTCTCTAGGAGGCGGGTGATCCGAAATTTCGTTGACCTGGGTACCCTACCGAGCCATATTAAAAGTTTAATCGACCGTCTTCAAAGGTAGCTGACCTCGTCAAACCGAACTGGTGCAAAAGTTTACTATATCGCGTAATTTGGCGCGTTGAGCCACAGGGTTCAGTATACCGGCATACACAATAGCGAGAAACAGGGTTTACTACGTACACTGTAACAGTTCAATTCACGAGTCCCATTTCAACTACAGTGTGGTGGTCTGCCGCTTTGGTGCAGCAGCAGTGCTGCCCGCCAATCCGTGCAGTGCAAGCTTCAGGTCAGGTCCCTTCCAGCGAATGCACTCTCGGCCGACTCGACTACACGTAGCTCGACTGCTTTGATGAGAATCCACCACACCACCAACCAACCACCACTCTTTCTTTCTGTTTATCTTCCCCGTCTTCTGTTCACAAAAAATCAGGTCCAAATTTTCCTTCTCACCAGAAACCTGTAAGTCCTTCAATGCAACCTCAATCAGTGTACGTTCCGTCAGCCACTAGGCTCTCTCACTTTTCTTCCTCCAAACCTTGTTCTCACACACGATTCACAGACTACCCACACCTCGGTCGTATCAATCCCCCGACGTTCAGCGCGTCCCGACTTTCACGCTTGTTTCGCGTCGCGCAGCACTAGCCTAACCCGCTCGTCTGATGGCTCAAGAGAGCTGGGAACGGGAGCAGGGCTCGGCGGGCTGCAAGCAATCCGACCGGAACATTCTCTGTGCCAACAACTGCGGCTTTTTCGGAAGCGCGGCGACGCTCAATATGTGCTCGCAGTGCTACGGCGAGCACGTAGCCAAGACCATGCAAGCCGCCGCCGCTACCGCTACAACAACAACAACAACTGCAACCTCTTCTAGCTCCAACCCCTCCGCCAGTCCGCAACGCACGCGGCCGCCAGTAGCTCTTCGCACCGACCCGTGCCCGAGCGGCGCTACCAGCGGCAGCGGAAGCGGAAGCGGTATCGCCGCGGCCGTGAGTTGCGGAGGCGCGGAGAACGTCCAGAGGACGAGTTTCCCAGTCGAGCCGTCGGCACATCCGTTTGCGGCCAGGAAGGAGGAAATTGATGTACGCGGGCAAACGCACCCTGCGCTTGCGAGTATCGACTCTCGAGCTTCGTCTGCTTCTCCTTCCGTCGCCGCCGCTGCTGCGGCTGTCGTCGCGCCTGCGCTTCCTTGCGTTGGCGGCAGCAGTAGCAGTAGCAGCGGCAGTCGCGCGATTCGGTGCATGTCGTGCAAACGGCGGGTGGGGCTGACGGGCTTTAAGTGCCGGTGCGGAGACATGTTTTGCGCGATTCACAGGTACTCGGACAAGCACGCTTGCTCGTTTGACTACAAGACAGCTGGTCGCGAGGCGATTGCGAAGGCGAACCCGATCATTAAAGCCGATAAGGTGGCCATGTTCTGAAGCGAAACGGTGGTTAATAGCCGTTGGGAATTGATGCGATGTGGATAATTTGGGGTTGCTGTCATGAAGTATCGGGTCTCGGAGGTGTTGTGAAAGAACAAGGTAAGGAGAAGATTGAGCCTGGCTGGTCTGCCGGGGGCTGCCGGGATGAAGAGTAGTGCTGATGAGTCGGACGTGTTCGTCCTCTCTCCGAAGCTCTAATCGTTCCCTCGTCGACGTCCGCTTCTTCCGTTTGCTCGTTTCCAGGGTGCCTTATTCCCTTCTATGAATCATATCAGTCGCTCCCTGTGCTGATTCCGTGTGCGTGTTCTGCTACACCGCGCTGAAGATTTATGGAGTTACGTTTTCTTTCACTTGTGATCAAACAGACCAGACCAGCTTGCCACATTCAAACCCTGGGTCCCACAGAGGCACCGGGTTCACTAATTGATAGCCTTTCACCACCGCTGCACTAAATTCTTGGTGCACAAGCATGGTTGTGCTACCGTGTATGATTTTATTGCCGGATTGTTTGTTTGACCTCTTCTACTGAATTCCTGATCATCCAGAATGGTTGTAAACACTACACTATCAAATATTACAGGCACTTAAGCTGATTGTAATATTTTTCTTTCATGAATGTTTTGCAACTTCCGTATAAGCGAATCATTCTCCATCCGCGTTATAAGTTCACCGCGTGCCCATTTCCGCACACGAGTGACCAACGCAAATTCTAGCCACTCCCAAGTAATCGCGCTCCGGGAGGTTCAGCGGTGCGCATTTATCCTACATAATCTCGTCAGGACCCGCAGAACGCGGCATGCTGAGACCGCGCCAAGGACGCTGCGACCGTTCCACCGTTGCGCGCGACGCGGCCGAATGGGTCGAAACGCAGGAGGAGCTTCAGGCGCTACTGGCAGACCCGCTGCTCGCCGACGTGGCGGCTGACGTGTCGCTGGAGGAAGTCGAGACGCTGATTGCGGCGGAAACGGGCGGCGGGATGAGGCTGCGAGTTAAGCGATTAGATGGCGGCGAGTATGGTGAGAAAGGGGTGGCGTGAGGGGAAAGAGAGGGAAGAGGGGAGTGGGTGGGACATGGAGACAGGAGGTTCTGCTTCCTTTTTTTCATTGATAACCTTTCTTCTTTTCATCTTTTTGTTGCGCGGAATGTCTATCCTCCGTCTTTTTTATCCTTTATGGTTTTAGACATGTCTCCCTCGTTTGGTTCTCTTTCCTCCACTTTATATCTCCCCCTTTGGTGGAAGATGCCGTTACTTCGACAGCGTCATGACTCAAGACATGATTGCACTCTCTCTCTCTCTACTTTGTCTACTCAGAAAACTCCCGAATAACATCTTACTTATCGCACACACGCACTCCCGAGTACATTCTTACTTGTATCAGCATCTCCACTTCTCCTCCTGTCTCCCTGCAGCGGTGGTGGTGCGGCAGTCAGCAACAGTGGGGGACCTGAAGGCTGCGGTTGAGAGGGAGGCACGGAGATGGGCGCAGGGGGAGGGCGCGGGGGCAGGGTGGGCTCGGGGGGAGAGATGGCGAGAGGGGGGTGGCGTGCGGGAGCGAGGGCAGGGAGGGGAGGGAAGGGAGAGGAGGGAAAGAGGGGAGGGAGGGCAGGATGGTGGAGAGTTGAGGGAGATGAGAAAGCGCGCGTGGGGAGGGAGGGAGGGCGTTGGGGAGGAGGGGAGAGAGGGGGTGAGGAGTGCGGAAGATGGTGGTGTGATGAGAGGTGGTGAGGAGGGATGGCGAGGGGTGCGCGAGAAGAAGGCGAGGAGGGAGATGAGGGCGAGGGGGGAGAGGGGGGAGAGGGGGGAGACGGGGGAGAGGGGGGAAAGAGGTGAGAAAGAGGACAGGGGGGTCAAAGGGGGGAGGGAGAGGGAGGAGAGAAGGGAGAGAGGAGAGAGAACGGAGGGAATGGAGAGAAGGGAGGGGCAAGAGCAGGTAGAGAGTAACAATAGGAGGGGAAAGTTTATGCAGGAAGGTGGGGAGGTTGAGAGAGGAGGGCAAGCGGATGAGGGAGGAGGGAAACAAAATGTAGTTTTGGAGGAAGAGGGTGAAATGGAGGAGGATAATGACGAGGAGGAAAAAGAGCGGGAGGGGGAGGAGGAAGAGTGTGGAGGGCAGTCGCGAGATGGACATGTGTATGCAGCGCCGTCACACAGCCGAGGCATCTCATGGTGAGGCTCGTGAGGTACATGCATGCATGCATGCGTACATGTGTGTGGGGAGAGGGAGAGAGAAGGGGGGAGGGGGGGGAAGGTAGGGTGGGAGGGGGTGCGTGTGTGCATTCGCGTGTGTTCCCGTGCGTGCGCGTGCGTGTGCATGTGCGTGTGCGTATGTGTCTGGCAATCCTTCTGCCCGTTTCTCTGTCTGTCTACTCATCTCCCCATCATCACTCCTCCACGCACCCCCCCAGGCGCTACATCTGGTCGCATGCATGCCTGGCAGTGGACGGCCATCCTCTCCCCTTCCACTCTCCCACCACCCCTCTGCTCGACCTTGGCCTCACCAACGGAGACCAGGTGTGCTGTTACCCACGTTTCTTGCTCTCATTCCCCCTGTTCGTTCAAGCCTGTGCGCGCACCCACTATGAAAGGTAACTAGGTTGTGCGGCCAGCCACCTCTGTGTTTTCCTTCTCTTCTTCTTTCACCCCTCCTCTTACGGTATCTTGAAAGCTTCTGTCATTTCTTTCTCTCCCCCGTTTCGCAGCCCCCACTCCCCTGCCTTTCCTTCCCACTTGAGCTGAGAGTGCATCATATCTCCCTCTTTCGTATTGCACACTGCTCTCCTCCTGTGCCTCTGTGTGTGCGCTTGTGTGCGCTTGTGTGCGATTGTTTACGCTTGTGTGCGATTGTGTGTGCCTCCGTGTGCTTGTGTGTGCGTGTGCTGCAACGGCCCTCAGCTGTGCTTTCTGCCGTACCGCCCACCAACCACCAAGAGACACCAACGGGCCAGACACTGGCGAATGGGATGACCAGCACGTTATGTCCCCCCTCTCAGCCCTCCTCTCTTGGATGAGCCGACTGAGACAGATTGTATGGCTGAGTATGGGGGAAGGTGGAACAAAAAGGGCAATGCAGGGAGTTGGTCCCTGGGATGACCAGCACATAATGTCCCTCCCTCCCAGTCCTCTCTTGGATACGGTAAGCCAAATGAGACAGATACGCAATGGGATGGCTGAATATATTTTTTCATGCTCCATACAGAGATTGGTGAGCTTCAGCATCCTTTTTTCGTGTGACTGTGGTAGTCATATTGCAACACATGATTATCTGTTTCTTGTTACATCACTATAATATCCACCACAAACACAGTACTGCATTATTCCTACGGTAGAACGTTAGTGAAATAAGATTCTAATCCAATACATCAGCGTGAGAAGGAAACCCATGAGACACAGCAATGACATTCCATGCCATGCCGACCCATTCAAGCCCATGTCATAGCAAGCCATGCATGCCATTTCATGCCAGCCAAACCTATCACCGTACTCCCTGTTCCTCCCAACCAACTCCCTGCTTTGCCCTTCTGTTTCACCTTCCCCCATGCCACAGCAGCAGGACCCTGAGCCTGCTGCAGCACATATGGCGCACAACATAGCACAGCACAGCACACCCCCCAAAAATTGCAACACAGACAGACAATGTGAACTCGGGATGGAACAGGCCGGTCAACATCGCAACCACTCTTGCATGCACCAACCTCCCCCAACTCCCACACTCCCTCTCCTCTCTCCCCCCCATTCGCTCTCTCCCCCTCCCCCCCCCTCCTCTTCCTTTCCTCATCGCACCAACGCCCCAGATCTCCACGCTTCTCCCCTCCTTCCCACCATTAGACCGGCACATGTTAACTCTCCACACCTCTCCACCCATCCCCACCCACGCCACTCCTCAGCTCTCCTCAGCAGCAGCGTCAGCATCAGCAGCGGGTTGAGAGGAGGGGAGGCCAAAGATGCGCAGGTTGCGATCCATGGCAGCCACTGCCACGTATGAGGCATCGGGGCCGAATTCCGCACACGTCACCTTGCCTGCGTGGGGCGAGAGGGACGAAATTGAGGTTGATAAGAGAGGACGAGGGTGAGGAGAGAGAGGATGCAGGAAAGGAGGGAAAACGGATGAGAAGGGCGAGGAGGGAAAGAAGATGGGCGAGGAGCTATGTGGAGAAAGACGCTGGGGCAGCCCTGCGTCCTGCGTCCGGACGCAGCGTCCGGACGCCAAGACGCAGGACGCGCGTCCGGACGCAGGACGCACCCTGGAAATTTTTTCGGGCAGACCGAGATTTTTTTTTTTTTTCGCGATCGCGAAATTGACATTCGCGATTTCGTCGCGAATGTCAATTTCGCCGAAATTCGACACCCCCCAAGCAAATTCGACCCCCAAAACCAGCCATCTAATTCACCCCTAACTCCCTCCCCTTTTTGCAAAATTGATTTGGAAATCCAACCCCTCTCCACCACTCCACAACTAGGAAACCCAACCTTTGTGGTCCACCACCCCCACAAAGCCCATTTAGTTCATGAAACCTCTCATTTGTGCTCCCTTTTCTCACAACCCAATTCTCTTTCAAAAACCCTAGTGGTTTTAGCTCCTTTCCGCGCACCACCGTTATGGCTAGCTCCTTGTGTTCGCGACCTTGTGTTTGTTGCGCACAACTGGAACGTTGTGCACAACCACCACAAAGGTGCGGCGGGTGCGGGGCCGAGTGGGGAAGTCAGGAAGGCGGGAATAGTGGAGGGGAACATTCCCCCCCGACCCCTTCCCGAGGGGTACAAGCTTGAGGAGGATGGAGAGGTGGAGGTGGATGAGGATGACCTCATCTTCGACGAGTACAAGGAGCGGGAGGATTTGGAGAAGGAGGAGGAGAAGGGGATGGAGAGTGAGGAGGATGAGTGATGCATGTTAGTTAGTGGTAGTATGCATGCATGCTAAACAACCCTTGGACTAATTGTGATTATGGAAATTTGGGGCTCACCTTCATGTTCTATTGTTCTGGCTGAAATTTTGTTGTTGAGGAGAAATTTTGCTATGAAAGTGTGTTCCCCCCCCCCCCCCTCCCCCTCTTACCCTCTCTTCCCTCTGCCCTATAACTTTTTTTTTGGCTGCCCGGGGGGTTTTTTTTGGCTGCCCGGACCTGCGTCTTTTGCTGCGTCTCGGGGGCCCTAAACTAGCGTCCAGCGTCTGGACGCATGCGTCCAGGACGCTGGACGCGTCTTTCTCCACATAGGCGAGGAGGGAAAGAAGATGGGCGAGGAGGGAAAGAAGATGGGCGAGGAGGGAAAGAAGATGGGCGAGGAGGGAAAGAAGATGGGCGAGGAGGGAAAGAAGATGGGCGAGGAGGGAAAGAAGATGGGCGAGGAGGGAAAGAAGATGGGCGAGGAGGGAAAGAAGATGGGCGAGGAGGGAAAGAAGATGGGCGATCGGGGAGAGATGGGCGATCGGGGAGAGGTGGACCTGTGTCGACCTGTTGCACTGACCTGTGTCGACCTGTTGCACTGACCTGTGTCGACCTGTTGCACTGACCTGTGTCGACCTGTTGCACTGACCTGTGTCGACCTGTTGCACTGACCTGTGTCGACCTGTTGCACTGACCTGTGTCGACCTGTTGCACTGACCTGTGTCGACCTGTTGCACTGACCTGTGTCGACCTGTTGCACTGACCTGTGTCGACCTGTTGCACTGACCTGTGTCGACCTGTTGCACTGACCTGTGTCGACCTGTTGCACTGACCTGTGTCGACCTGTTGCACTGACCTGTGTCGACCTGTTGCACTGACCTGTGTCGACCTGTTGCACTGACCTGTGTCGACCTGTTGCACTGACCTGTGTCGACCTGTTGCACTGACCTGTGTCGACCTGTTGCACTGACCTGCGTCGACCTGTTGCACTGACCTGTGTCGACCTGTTGCACTGACCTGTGTCGACCTGTTGCACTGACCTGTGTCGACCTGTTGCACTGACCTGTGTCGACCTGTTGCACTGACCTGTGTCGACCTGTTGCACTGACCTGTGTCGACCTGTTGCACTGACCTGTGTCGACCTGTTGCACTGACCTGTGTCGACCTGTTGCACTGACCTGTGTCGACTCAAAGTCGCAAGGGGAGCAGGGAGAGGTGGAGGGAGGAAGGGGAGAAAGTGAGGGGAGGGGGGATGGGCGAGCACTGACCTGTGCCTGAGAGGTCGGGGATGGTCTTGATGGAGTTCCACTCCTGCTTCACCGTGCCCACTTGAATCACCCTGTGGTCGCGGTAGGTACAGGTGCGCGGATGGTTGGAGAGGGGGCAGTGGGGGGAGAGAGGGGGATGGGAGGGGGAAGAGTGAGTGAGAGAGAGTTGGGTGGAGGGTGGTGAGAGGGGAGGGGTGGGAGGGTGGTGAGAGGAGGGGGGCGGGGAGAGGGAGGGGGGCGGGGAGAGGGAGAGGGGCGGGTGAGAGGGAGCGTGGCGGTGAGAGGGAGCAGGGCGGGTGAGAGGGGGCTGGTAGACCAGCAGCAGGTCAGAGAAATTGAGGGAGCGCGAGTGAGAGAGTGTGAGAGAAGATATGCGAGAACCGTTACTAGAATGACATGCGGCACACTGTGGTGGTGTGTGGCTTACCGGACATCTGATCCCGCCATCGCAAGGTAGGACCCACTGAAGTCAAACCGGACTGCGGGGACGGAGAGAGAGAGGGGGGAGAGGAGAGCGCGGGCAAAGGGGAAGGGAGAAGAGGGAGAGGAAGAGAAAGAGAAGCTCTGAGACGCCTCACGACTGGACTGCGGAGAAAGGGGACGGATGGTGAGAATAGCAATAGCACAGTAGCAATAGAACCACAGTAGCAGTAGCAGCACCACCAACCACGGTGGGCAGTGGTCGTACCGCTGTTGGTGGGAGTGGTGGCCTCGAAGGGAGCAAAGGTGCGGAAGTTCTTGAGCTTGCGCAGATCCCACAGCTTCACCCCGTCCGATGCCGCCGTCTGGGGAACAGGGGGAGGATAGATGGGCGATGTGGGATGGGGGAAATGGGGGGAATTAAGGTGGGGGGATGGGAGAGGGAGCACGGGACGGAGGAGGGAGGACGGAGGAGTGAGAGGAGGGAGGTGGGCGGCATGAGCGTGGGCAGAAGTGGGCAACGGCCTGTGGTGGTGCGGCGTGTATAGTACAGGGGGACAAAAAGGGAAGCGCAAGGGCAGAGCGGAAAGAGAAAACCTGGGGAACAGCAGCAGGGGACAAGGGGAGGAGATCCAGCAGGGGAATCATTCAGCAGTATGCTTATTTATCAAGGATGGGATGGGTATGCGAGGGGAAGGCTTCGCTGGGCTCTGAAGATGTATGTATAACAGCAAGGCCTTACACAGCCCTGACGAGGAGACGGGGATGAGGATGAGAGGCAGGGGCGGGGCTTACGGCAAGGAAGTATCCGTTTTCTGAGAAGCTGATGGCTGTGATGGGCCCTGAATGGCCCTCGAACTTGGCCACATTGGCCTGATGGAGAGAGCGAGGTGGGAGATTGAGAGAAAAAGAGGAGGCGGAGAGAGAGAGGGAGGGAGAGAGACATGCGCACAGAGACAGGCGAGTGGAAAGGCATTCGGACACACGGCACCAGAACGCGCGCACATGCACACACAAATGCATGCTCCTGCACGCGCACATACAAGTAGATACAAAGCGCACGGATATGGGCCTATGAAAGTTGAGAGAAAGCTCTGACCTGCCCCGTTTCACCCACAACAACCTGCCCTGACCTGTCACCCCCAGCATAACAACCCCCC